ATTTATTTATCTAAACATATATATAAAAATATATAGATATAGATATATCTATATCTAGATAAATATTTATTAATCTAAATAAATAAATATTTTTCAATATTTATTTACAATTCATGGGTTTTAACACTATTTCCATTTTTCCTCTTTAACAGAACCAACAATTTGACACTTAACTATTTTTTTTTTGACAGTGTGGTAATACCACTCCTCAGAACAGGCCTTTTAGTTGTACTTAGAGCAACTCTGCTGCCTTTCAGCTATTTCATCACTGCTGTCTTTCCTGCAGTCTTTAACACAGTTGCAAAATCTGCACACTAGTTCATGCAAGTTCCTATCGACTGTGTTGATGTAACAATGATCTGAGGGTAACTGAACTGCAAGAATCTCTAAACTTCAGAATTTTATCATTTATCAGGATTTGTTAGAGATCTCCTTGTTTCTTTAAATGCGCTTTTACAAACAATAATTTAGAGAGGCATTATATTGCAAATAATAAATTTAATTTTTATCTTACCCCCTGGAGAATTTTGGAGGTTAATCTGAATTTTGTAGCCTGCCCTTTTCTCATCACAGGCCAAATTCAATTCCCACTTAATATCAGTAAAGACGTTTTTTCAACATAATTTAATAGAAGTTAGGGCTGAATGACATCTAAATTAAGTATTAAGTTGCTATTCATTATTTGTAACTTCTAGTTAATGGCTTTCCCAAATCTAAGTACAAGCACAGTCTTTATAAGCATTGTGGGTATAAGCCTACTTTCTTTCTGCAAAATAAATCCATGTTTTTATCTTTTTCCAAAGAATTTCTCCTGGGCGGCCTCTGCTGAGATGGGGTGGGGAAGCAAAATCTGAGTATCAGCATAAAACATTAATCCAAAGCTAAGCAGCATTAGGTAAACTGAGTGTTCAAAACAGATAGAACTTGTTCCAGAAAATATTTACTACAGAATTTTCAATGTATATTCCTACAGGTGCATAAGCCAACAGTAAAACAAATGGTTAAAACACCCTCAAGAAACATATTTACTTTAAAATAATTGTAAAAAAATAAATACGTTCATTTTCTCTTAGGGACCCATATTCCTGGAGAGCTGTTTTGGGTGTGCACAACCTGTGGAAACACGACGAACACACAGCAAAAAGAAATATCAAAAGCATCACTGTGCACCCAGAATTCAAGAGAGAAACGTTTGAAAATGATATTGCGTTATTTGAACTGGAATCTGCAGTACGCTACAGTGACTACATCCAGCCTGTCTGCTTACCTCCTGCGTACCCTGCCCTACACACTGACAATGAGACAGGCTGCTTCATTAGCGGCTGGGGACGGACAGCAGAAAAAGGTAAACATTTTCTTGTGTTATTGATCAAGTTATAAACTACATAATACTGAGTTCCAGTCCCTCAAGCTCATTGAGAACTGAATTTGTTCAGGTTATAGTCTCATCACACATCATCATTAAATCCTTCTGCAACTGAGTAGCTGTTTTCAGTGTTTCTTCCACTGAAAGCAGATGAGATCTACACAGATGGAACCACACGCATCATTTTTCTAGCCTTTCTTCCAAATATAACATGAAAAAAGGAAAATAAACTAGCCTGACTTTCAGATTCCTGGTACACCTACTCCACGTTGTCTGCTAGAAAACTTACTGAAAAACAACAGTTCTGATGCTGTTCTCTGTGAACTTAGAGGTCCCCATCTATTTTATAAATGCCTGAACTCCCTCAAATTCTTTAATCACAATGAGAACAACCTTTGTCTGATGTCAGTTGGAGGAGCGCATCTTTCCTGCATGGAAATTTCAGGGACAGCTGAAGATCTTATGAACTTGTTTGATTAAGTCACCTGTGACATTTTGAGCAAGGCTAGTGAGTGGTAGTGTTCTCATCAGTGTTTCTTCAGAATAAGAATTGGAAAAACTACATCAAATCCAAGTCTGTAAATCCTTTCCCCGCTTATGTTTGAATCCATCAGAAGTCGGCACAATCTCTAAACACGTTCATGTCTAAACATGTACAGAAACATGCTTAAGCTGGCTAAACAGGAAGAAAGAGCACAGTAAGAATGGCTACGCACACAAAGGCATAAATATTTTACCTTGGTTTATGCTCTTTTCCATTAAAGGGAAAACTTCAGCTGTGTTAAACGAAGCACAGGTGGAAATCATTCCTTCTAGCGTCTGTAATCGTTCCGATGCCTACGGAGGTCTGATTAGCGACAACGTCATTTGTGCTGGCTCTCCGTTAGGAGGCATCGATACCTGCCAGGTAAGAATGAACATCGTGCCCCACCTGCCACGAGCCAGACTCTCAGGGGCATCGTGATGACCAGCATTTGTAGCATAATTAATTAAAATGGCACAAATACTGAACAGAAAACATGTCAAACTGCAAAAGAAGCATCAATAGAAAGAGGTGAGATGGTGATTGCAAAGAAAAGACACTTCAAAAACATACACAAAGAATTCAGTGATGCTGACAAGGCAGAAGGAGCAAGTTACAGGAGAAAAGACCACAAACATTTACACAACACTTACCACAAAGATGTCAGTAAATAATAGTCCATGACACAAGCACGTGTAAGGATACACACACACCTATCACTGTACGTATGTTCTGTGTGTGAGGAACACGAGTGTCTCGCCTGTTTTTGTGCTTCTGAGAGAGCAGCAGCATTTATGGTTCAGTGATACGGTGAGAGTTTTATTTAAATGCTGAGCAGTCAGCATCTCTTTGTCAGAAAAGACAATTCTCAGGTCAAAAGCAGTAGCGTGCGAAAGCTGAGGCACCAGTTGTGATATGGAGACATTTATAATTAAAAACCATAACATTTTTTGTAATTCCTGCTTTCCTCAGCACTTTTCCTTTAAGTAGGTGATACAGCAAAGATTCAGGGTTGTGTATTCATTACCGTGTTTCTTGGTACTTACACATTGTGTGGACAATATATTCTCATATTGATTGATAAGTGAGAAATTTTAGAGACAAGCCTTAGAATGAAAAGGTGCAGAAAGAAAAACAACAACAGAACTGTCATTAAAGACACTGACACTAATGCAGGCAAGGCAGTGTCACCCAGCAGCACCGAATCTTAATTTGATCTTCATTTGTCTGTGAACAACTATCCATGTATTTCTGTCATTATTGCTACCCAGTTAATTTAGCTGATATAAAATAAGTTGGATTTTTTTTTTAAAGAAGTGGATGTATTACTGACTTAATTCTCCTTTGTCTCCTGGAAGGGAATGTACATTACTAGTTTTTTATATTGTGTATTTATAGGGAGACAGCGGCGGACCTTTAGCGTGCTATCACCCTCGCACCAACAAATATTATCTCATAGGGATCGCTAGTTTTGGGATTGGCTGTGGCCGACCAAAATTCCCTGGGATCTATGTCCGTTTATCTCAATACAGAAGATGGATAAAATCAGAACTTGTGTTGAGTAACAAGGCTGGGAATCCTGTGAGCTTTACACTTTCCATCTTTCTGACCGTGATACGTATCGTCCTTGCGTAGACTTTCTAAAGGGACAAACCCTTGCGTCATCATCGTCACAGAGGTTTGGTCTGTCCTGTTACAACTCTGAAAAGAAAGCTAACTCCTGCTTCAGAATAAATCCAAGAGCCAAAGGAAGTACGCTTATTTTTCATAAATCCTGTTTGTAATTGTGTTAATCTCTTTTGTTTTCTGCCTTTGATATCCATAGAATCATGGAATGGTTTGGGTTGGAAGGGACCTTCAAGCTCATCCAGTTCCAACCCCCCTGCCAGCAGCAGGGACACCTTCCACTAGACCAGGTTGCTCAAAGCCTCAACCAACCTGGCCTTCAACACTTCCAGGGAAGTGTTTAGTTGTCCATACTAAATGCTAACAGCCTCCACCCTAATAATGACATTGAATAGAGAATGGTTATCAACTGGAAATGCTTTTTTCCTACCCTCTTTCCGTGCTTTCCCAGCTATCAGAAGCTCGGGCACCACTTAGTAACACCATCACTATTTTGTAGACGGCAGAGATGCTCCCTCTGCCGGGTGAACACCAACAGAGCACAAAGGGTGTTTAGTTCACAGTGGATCCGCTTACTGAAAAAGGGGAAAAAAAACCCCAACCAAACCAAACCTGCAGAAAGATAAAAGGTATTCTCCACTCATTGTTTTTAGTGATGACTAAAATCTATGCACAAATAAGTTAGGGCTCTGATTGCTGCAAGGACACATCAGACACAAGATCTCTGGGTGTTGTTTCACAGAGAAAATATTAATTCTTGGCCACTGTTAAAGACCTGATACCACGCAACGTAGGCAGGTTTGGTCAGAACCACCGTGGTGCTACGTTAATTAAAAACAAAGAACATGAGAATTCTATTTTGGCGACTTTATTTACCAAGGTCAAAATTTGCAACCATCTAATTGTTTCAACAAATATTTACAATTCATATAAAGCATGTACTTTTGTTTGGAAATAACCAGCAGAACAGTATTAGGTACTATATATCTCTTACTCTCAGGATAGAAATTTAATTCTCTTACAATCTAGATTTTGAAGTAAATCCCAAATAAGTACTTCATGATAAGTGATTACTTCAAGAGCAAACTCATGTTACTGTTTAATATTTCCATGATGAAAAATAAGCTGCTCTTTCCAAAACACTATTTTAAGAGGATAAAAATTTACTAACATTATGTCTGGCAGCACTAGAGTTGTTTCACTCGCTGAATACAGACAGAATTGGCCACCATTGTTTTCTTTTGTTTTTGTACAGTCTTAACACTTGATAGCTATTTTATTTTTAAATCATTATTCCGTATTACAAAAGAAGGTAAAGGAACAACAGCACACAGTGAGGATCAAAATACCACACAGAGGAGTTACCCAATTAGTTTCAGGACTGTAGGTCAAACCCTCTTAAACATACGCCAGAGAGCATACGCGCACCCGATGGGAGACAGAGCGGAAAGGTCCAATTCTCCGCGGTGCTCAGCACCTTCCGAGGGATCCAATCTTCCTGAAATTCCACTACCAGGAGCAGGAGGCTCCAAACACCTCTTTTAACAGTTCCCTAATGTCATGACTTTCTCAGCCTTGCTCATTATTTCTGATGTGCAACAAACACACTCTTTTTTTCTTTCTTTTTTTTTTTTTATTTGACATGATCGCCAACACAAACGTCTGCTCCAGTTGGGCCTAAAGGAAATGGAACGAACGTGGATCATGTCCAGAACAATCAGAAACTTTAGAAAAAAAAATAATATATATTTTTTGAGCCTACTAAGAATGTGATTGTGGAATGCAGTCTTTCTCATACCGCTTGCCAAAAGCTCTGCTTGCTAAGAAGTCCGTTAATTCAAAGAGGAGTAAAGTAAAAAAAAATACTGACTGACCATACGATAAGCATTACACATCTAGGGAGTGAGTACACCTTTGAATTTCATTCAGATCTGAGCTAGCACAACACACACACGTAGCTCTAACACCTTTTTAATAGCATAGTCCATAGTGCAATTCCCGCTGACATAACTGGAAGCAGGATTCAATCCTAACTATGGAAAATAGTGTATTTATGATTCATGCAATAAGCACTGCATACACGTTTTTCTATTTCACAGAATCACAGAGTGGTTGAGGTTGGAGGGGACCTCTGGGAGTCACCTTGTCCAACCTCCCTGCTCGAGCGGGGTCACCTAGAGCAGGTTACCCAGGACCACATCCAGACGGCTTTTGAGTATCTCCAAGAATGGAGATTCCAAGCCCAAAAGAGTCCTGATCACGTTAAACATTTAATTTTCACCTGAAACAAATTAAAATCATACAAACTAGAATCTCTGATAGCAATCAGATCTAATGTGCAGGTATCATCAACTGGGGGGAATAAAAAGCCCTGATCTCTCTCTTTTTTTTTTTTTCTTTTTTTCTTTTTTTTCCCAATACTCTTTATGATCCTTTTTTTTTTTTTTTTTGCAAGTTGCCTACAGACATACAAAATTAATTCAAATATCTCCTACGCCAAAAAGGATCTCATTTGACTTTGTACTATCCATAAAAATATAGGCTTGAAAATCTGGTTCACAAAATATTTCATTTGTTTACTAAAATGAAATATAGAAACTGTCAAAATACGTATATAAACTCAATTTCAGAATTTGCAAAGATCACAATTTAGCTACAAAATATACCATCCATCTACCTGGTTTCAATAGAATAATTTCTTACAAAGATACCATTACTTTGCAAAATATCACCTACCTTACAAAATTAGCCTGGAAATTTCGCACTACTTTCAGCATATAAACCATATATTAGAACCTCATTAACCCTTTGGTATATATCTTCAAATTTTTTTTATTTTTATCATTCTTTTTCTATTTGGTTTAAATGTTCCAAAGCACAGTAGAATCTCCAGACAGAACAAGCAATGTATGTTTAATTGTATATATAATCAGCACACGATTTGTTTTTCAATTATAGATGTTTATCATGCCCAGCAACTAAGAACAAACTGCTATGAAATCATTCTTCAGAAGCTTTTCTTCACCAGTTCTCGTTCTACCACTTGAAAATCATTGGATTTTTTTTTTCTCTTAAGCAAAGTCAACACCTTATTTCATGTGCCTCAGACGTGTTCAGGATTAGGCCTCTCACTGCTTTCTGCAGATCCGTTCCAAATTTGATAAACACAGCAAACATTGGAAAGAAAAAAAAACAACCAAAACCCAACAAAACAAACAAACCCCCAACTTTTTAAACTGTCAGCTGAGAAAGAGTAAACATAATTTATACCTCTAGCAAAGTATTAGCTTTTTTTTTTTTTTATCATCTGCACCTGTAAATAACAACTTACAGGCTAAAATAAAAATATTTACATACAAATAACTGAAAGAAAAAAGTAAGGATTGAAAAAAAGAGTAAGAAATCAAAACATACACTGGTTATAAATGTTACTAGTAATGTCAACTATGGCAAGGATTCCATTTCATCCACGTTTTAACTGTCACCAAATATTGCCTCCATTAGCAGAGGTATTTGTAGAAATTTGCAAAGAAATTCTAATCACCTGCCTCGTAAAACGTGACTGTCCTTTTACTGTAGATGCAATCTTGACTTTATCAAGTTTCCAGTTGTGCCAGAAAAAAAAACAGGAATTTTGGTGAGGTTTTCTTGTTTCCTGTTTGTACTTTGTCACCAACACGTTGTAAATAAAATCTATAGAGTCTTTAAGTTGTGAAATCTAGGTAGAAAAGTTTCATTTTTGACCTTTCATCTAGTTTAAAAAATTCAGTATAAAAAAAAAAAAAAATTTCTCCTCTGAAATTTAAACAGTCCACAAAAGTTTCACCTTCTTTTCTTACACACTTTTATGACAGTAAAGATCTTTCAAAGTTTTTAGCTCTTCAATTAGAGTTTTGTTCTGATTTTCCAGGACTGCAACTCGATTTTCCAGACATTTAACGTACTCTTTCTTCTTCCTGCGGCATTCTCGAGCAGCTTCTCTGGAACAGACAAGCAGAAGTTATTGTGTATTTTAGATGTGAGACGTGTCTGGTTTATGAGTGTTACGATAGTGACCGATATCAGAGGAGAGAGCTGGCACTGCAATCATCAACAGAACAAACTGAAAAGGACACAAGGACATGCAGAGAGCTTGAAATTTAGCAGCATTTGGGAACACACACGGTAGTTGATCTGCAGAGAAGAAATAAAACTGTGAGACGGAAAGTGCAGTGTGTTTTGGTCAGAATTTCAGTGGTTTTAGTCGCGCTGGATGCAGCACACCACACTGATGGCACAACCAGGAAACTCAGCTCGCAAGACTCATTGTTTGTCCTTTGAAGATCTATTTCAGCACATTAAACTAACAAATCAGAGCAGCCCATGTGCACTTACTTACCTGTTCTTCATCAGCCTTATTTCTCGTTTCAACTGCGGATCATCCGTCTTACTTGTCTGCGACGTCAGAGTGACAGGAGATGTCATCACCACCGTCTGAGGAAGGGACGTGGTCGTCGGCGTGGTGCGGATCTGGTAAGTCTGCATGTCTCCTGATGCAGCTGTTGAGATAATAGCATAAGACATCAAGAGGTGGCACAGAGTTAGAAAGCTCAAACGCTGGCGTGAGCGATGGGTGTTTCTAACCATTGGCAGAAAGTCTACTCACTCTGCACCACCACCTGGTTGCTGGGTACGAGTATCTGTTGCCCATCTGACGTCTGTGCGTACTGCAGGATCGTTGTCCCAGGCTGACTACCACCAGCATTTGTCATCGTTAGTGTCTGCAGCCCTTGCACACCATCTGCACCCGGGCTGGCCAGCTGTAACCCATTGGCAGCGATGGCAACTTAAAAGAGAAAGGAACACGCGGTACAATAGCTGTAGCTGGACATTATCACGTAGAGATAAAGGTAAATCTGTAGGCTGGACATCTGTTTCCACTGCTGTAAAATCCTGCCAGTTTGGAAAGGCTTCTTATTTCTGTCACTTTCACTATCAGATCTTGCTGCTGGGTTCTCACTAAAGGTCCTGGGTGTAAGTGGGGAGGTGCTGGCAGTGAGGGGAGCCGCAGGGGTGGGCTCTGTGAGAAAAGCTCTGGGACTGCCCCGAGCCAGACACCAGCTCCCTGGGGACTCACACTGGCCACAGCTGGTGGCTCCTCTATGGAAATACCCTGAAAAAGGGGGAAAAAATCCAAACAGGCAAAGGAGAGAGGGGGAAAAGTGAGAATGAGCAGCACAAACACCCAGCTCAAAGGATGGGGAGGAGCTGCTCCAGGCGCCGGAGCAGGTTGGTTTTTGGTTCACAAGCACAATGAATATCAGGTGATAAAAGTCAGTTTGCCTTTCAAGGGCAGGTTCTGGAATGCATTTAATTTTCTTATTACTACTGCACACATTTATTTTTAAGGCCAGGCTGGATGAGGCTTTGAGCAACCTGGTCTAGTGGAAGGTGTCCCTGCTGATGGCAGGGGGGTTGGAACTGGATGAGCTTTAAGGTCCCTTCCAACCCAAACCAGTCTATGATTCTATGAAAATCACAGGAACAAATCCCTTTTTATTTTTGCTACCTCCCTGACACCACAGGAACACCTTTTGGGGTGGCCCTACGATATATATAATGGTATCTTCACTGACCTGACATGTCAGACTAAATCTAACACTAGAAGACTGCTACGTATTTCATAACAACATCCGCTGAACGTCTTGTCTTGACGCGCAAAAATCAGGATAACGAAGCACTGAGTTTGTCTGGAATCTTTAGTTATCAGTCTATTTCCATGTAATAACAATACCACCTTTGTTGACTGTTAGATAAATAACCAAACCTTCTGAGTTTCAACTTAGTCAAATATGTAACAAAATCTGTATTTTGAGGCAAGTTGAATAAAAAACTGTCCAGTTAGGCAGAAATTTTGTAGAACGTACTGTACTGTCCAGTGCTCGTCTGGTAGATAGGCGTGGGAACGGACATAGATGTGACAGTAGAGACACCAGGACTCTCCTCATCTCCTTTTCTGTCACGTGTATCTTCAGAAGAAAGATCTTTCAAAATTTTTCTACAAAAAAAGTGGTTTTTTATCAGTTTAATAGCAGGCAAAATCTACAGGTCACTGCAGCAACAGTTACAAACCACTATCCCTATTTTGTATGACAGAAATAAACACGAAAATTGGGATGAACAGCGTTTGGAATTCACAAGATTTTGTATGAGGTGACTGCCTCAAACTCCTTCTCTAATTACATTTCTATAGTTTATATAGTTTTTTATTTAAATAGCTTTTTATTTAAATATTTGTATCATTTTATGTCAAAGTTTCCTGGTAGCAAATGAGAGCTAACATGACATCCTCAAAATGTTTACTGCGTGAACAGATCCAATGCATGTTTCATGAGAAAGAAAACAACTTAGAGGTTGACAGAACATGTGAAGCTACTGAAAGAAGTTGCTGGTTTGGTTTCAAATAAAAATACAAAATAGATGACATCTAGAACTTACCGGTAGGATGGACGACGAGCTAAGATGCCTCGAGCTTTCTGTGAAGAGCCGATGCTGTCTGATGAGTCCTGAGAATCTTCGCTCTCAGACAAAGAGGACACCTAAAAAACACATTCCGTGTGGTTATCTGCTACACTTCAAAAGAAATAACCCAGAAGAGACGACACATTGTACTTGTATATGAGCTAAAGCTGCCTGAAAACTGTATGAGTGGCTAATTACAAACAGAAAAAACACTGGATTCCTATTTCAGTGATTATAAAAAACCGTTACACGTTCGTGAGGTCATAATGAAACAACCCTCCCCTCCAAAACAAACAAACAAAAAACTGTCCCAAACTACTGATCACATTAAAAGCTGAAAAACATCCACCACCTGAGGGTAAAATGTTCTCTCTGGATTAAACTGCAGGATTACTCAATCCAGGATGTTTAAAGTGTGAAGGAATACAAATGGTTTCTTATTTTCATAAAAATCATACAAGCTGAAATAACTTAACAGCTGATGTGGTCTGAAAAGGTGAGCTGCTCCCACACATAAATTTGTCTAAGGAGCTGGTGGGAAAGGAAACAGGAACACCATTTCTGTCCAGAAACACACATAGAAAACACTGGAAATCTTTTCCGTAGACAGAAGAGCGTATTCTGCTGGTCAGAATAAAAGTAATATTTAAGGCAGCAACATATCAGGTAGCAAATATACAAAGTATTATCTACAATTTTCTCTTTATTCCACTGTGTCCTCATCCAGTTGCCAACTGTTATTTTTTCTCTGACGCTCCTTATTAATTACAAGCTAACAAAACATTGATTTGTCCTTATTTGTGTGGCAGCAACAAAAAGTCAAGAAGAATGCGTGCAGCTCTGGGGAAAGCATTTCTCACTCCTGCTGCTACAGAGACAAAAAGAGCAACCTACTATCAACATTTTTAAGAAAAGCTGGTCATCTATCACTTTTTTCCCCCCCTTTTGAGCAACAACGTGACAATGTTCATAAATTACAGGGAAAAAAAAGAAAACAGTCAGTGGGGACACCACAACTAGAACATGATGACAGGAAAGGGATTAGCGGAGACTCGAGTAACGACAACCCACTAACACAGAAGCTTAACTTGTTTTCTGCCAAGTGAAACGTGTTTTCTTTTCCATGAGCTGATGTTACAGCAAACATGACAGCTGAAAATGCATTTACAGGTTTGCTTTCCCTGGTTTATCAATTTAATGTCGTGTGAACAGATAAGCACAGTACAAAGGATTAGTGACGAATTAATGCTTTTGAGCACAGTTCTTCCAGTTCTTCCTTCAGCTGACCAGGGCAGTTATCTCAGCCTGTAACTCCAGAGCCACGCTGCCCAGAGGGCAGCCAAGAACTGAATGAAGTAGTAAGAGACTCGATTGTAAACTCCCCGAGGCACCTCTCTGAAGTGGCTTGTACAAAAAATCACATGGCAAATGAGTAAGAGACACAAGCAGAATACTTTGGTAGCACAGAAACGGAGTTACAGAGTACGCGAGGTGAGCAATCAACAGTTCATCCACCACCATTCGGGTCTACCCTTTCCAAACACCCATTTTCCTTCGCTGGGTTATTTTATTCTCTCCTTATTTGGGTATTAAAACACACTAATTGCTGTGTTAAGAGCACCGACTCAGGAGCTGTGGCTTTGTTTTGGTTTTTTAATACAGGGAGGCAACGTCAAATAGTTTAATTTCAATTCCAAAGGCAACTTTAGTGCTACAAATAATTTCAAGCCTAAATAATCATTAAGAATCCTCAAAATACTGTCACTGGATTGCTCACAGCTCTCACAGCAGGGCTGCACTGAGGCAGAGTTCACCGAGCCAGACAAGCCTTGACAAGTCTTTTCACACAGAACAGGATTCCTGGTTGTTTAACAGACGTTCTGTAGTTACCTGCACAGTTTGCACCTGGGGTGAGTGGATTACAGAAGAGGACTGAGCTGTCTGGATGACTCCTTGGACCTGGACTTGTTCTCCAGGAAGCTGAACAACTGTCAGGGGAGCAGGACCTCGTAGAGACATCTACAATACATCAAAGAATCGTTACCAGAAACATTTGTTCCACAGTATTCAGCAAGTGTATATACACGTGGGAAAACTAGTGGAGAACATGCATTAGCAGAAGCTTCTTTTAAGTCTAATTAAGTCACAGAAAGTATCTTTTAAAGATATAAATTATTGAGATACATATCTGCATACAAAGGTGGCTGAACAGTTACTTATTCACCTTAGGTTAGGGGGAAAATCAAATTATGTGGCGTTATGGGCAAAAGATTAACATGTTGCAACTTAAATACCTGCATTTCTAAATGAACCAGAGTGAGGGGACTTCTCCAGAACCCCAAGTTGAGACTGAGCACGACTTTCAATGTAACTCCAGCCACAGGCACAGATAAAGCCCCACATGTGTGGCAGTTTATTTTTTTAAAGTTTTGATTCCATTTTAAGAGTGTCTTCGACTTAGATAAGCAGAAATAAAAGTTCCTAGTAAGTAGCTTTAATTCTCACTAAAGTTAATAGGAGTTTAGGGCACTAAGATCAAAATCAAGATGAAACAATCAGCAAGGCTGAGGGCTTAGACTGCCCTGCTGAAGTCATGCAGGAGGTAGCAGGAATAATGTACATATTTGGTGTTCTTGGATTTATTTTTTAATTTTTTTTAAGCAACCGGGATGAGGGTCTGGCTCAAAGATTTCACAGAGGAGAAATCACAAGTTCAGTAGAGCAAAAGCCAACCAATCTACTCAGAAAGTTCAAGGCACGAGGGCTGTAACTAAAAGAAAGCAAAAGGAAACTGAAGGAGACGAGGTGTGCGAACTCTGGACAGGGAAACAGAACAAAGAGCAGATTTTTCCAAATTAAAATGATGACATCTGTTCTTTCATGTTTTAAAACTCTCAATTTCAGTTCAGGTTGTAGGTGAAATCTGGGTTTACTTGGCAAAGAGTTAATCACGCTGCTCCCCCCACATAAACCACGTTTCACATTCCAGCAGATCTGTATTTTTGATGCTGAACTCACATTAAGCCTTTGCACTTAAAAATTAATTAAAATTATACAGGTAGATGCATAAGTAAATAACCAGTTTCCTCACCAGATTTCTTCACTACTTTTATTAATCTGGAATATATGAAAAGATGAAGGGATCATTAAAACTCACACAGGAAACTTTCCCTGTAACACTAGTTTTATATCATACATCATAATATTAAGTTACATTGGCAAGTTTATATAAAACCAGATGAGAAAACCAGCCTGTCAACAGCCAGCAGGACGCTCGCTGATGTTCTACCCCCTCTAACCTCACGCAGTTATCTCAATTTTGCATCAAAATCTAAATTGCCTCCACACAATAAACAGTGGATGAGCTGCAAAACATCGTCCTGTGCAGGATGGCTCCGTGGGAGCAGATGTTGTGTTAAAAGAGAAGCTCCTGCCGACGCAGACAGTTGAATCATGAGGAATTCCAGGATAAAGCTTTGAAATCAATGTTACCTTGTAGTAAGTATATCCAATTTCCAACTTCCTATGATTGATTATGTTAAATACATTCACACTGGGATAAAATCTAAGTGTTTCCATGGTGCTGAGCACCCAGGATTGTCATTAATACAAAAATGCTGCTTCTGAAAAAAAAAAATAAAATTAAAAAAATAATTACAAAAATTAAAATTAGGTCCTGGATTCATTACTAAGCAGCTGCTGTAGCCAGGTCGATGATGATTTCAAAGGCCATACAATCTAACAACGCTGGGCTGCGTTTTCACTTTGTACAAGCAGGAAAAGTAATTTTGGGTTGTTTTTTTTTTTTTTTTAATACAAGCCCTTTTATTAATTTTGTGTCGCCCATCAACAAGCACATTTTTCTCAACCTTCTTTTGTTTCGTCTCCTCTGTGTGTTTTTAAAACTCAAGGATTAATATAGTTTGTAGCACTATGAGAAATGGCTCTTAACTACCTCCAATGTTTGCTGAGATGTGGCCCAGGCTTTACCTGTTGAGCAATATGAGAGAGCTGAGCTGCCTGTAGTGTTGTACCTTGTACGGCTGACGTTTGGGAAGGCGTCACTGAACTGTTACTGCTGCTCTTGTGCACCTCTTCCATAATCAACTACAAGAAAATAACGAGTTAAATTCAATTAATGATAAATCTGAACAGCAGACAGATGCCCAACTTCCACTGGTGCTTTAGAGAATCTCGGCACCCAACGCTTTCAGCTTTATTTCCACTTTTTTAGTTAATTCTTTATCCTTTGATGTCACTTTCTATTACGGAATCGCATGGCTTTTTTTTGTCACTTCCCCTAGGACACCCTGAGCATTGTTACACCTTCTCCTGGGGACAAGAGGGGAGAGACACGGTGGGACCTTCGCACCGACTCGCCCCGTGGCTTTGGGCAGGTCGAGCACCCGCACGCCGCATCCTGAGGCCTCAGAGCCCAGAGCAGCACAAACCCCATTTCAGAACAGGAGACAAGTCTCATTTTACCCTAAAAACACCCGTAACCCAACTGTCTGTCAGCACTGGCTCAGACCTACCCCACTCTGAATTTTACTGTCAAATGTATTTACTGGATTCTCATGAAAATAAACAAAGTCGTGAGATTTAGGAAGAAAACCAAGACGAAGCATTTATACTGAAGAATATCTTGCTCTAAGTGAAATAATTTTCCAAAATATTTTACCCAAGCAACCAGCCAAACCTATTTTAAAACATCTGAAGGTGTAAAAAAACAAAACAGGGATTCAAAATCAAAGCAGAGAGAACACAGTTTTGAATTTTAAACCCTGCCAAAGTCACTCCGTCTCCACACGATACAGCCAGTAACGCTCCTCTCATTTCTAAGATTTCACATTTAACTGCTCAGTGTGTCTTGACAGCGTCCCCCCCCCTCCAGTATTGGGGGATTTAGTGATGTACAAATGCTTTTAGGTGGGGTGAGTGGGTGGACCAGCCTAGAGCATTAAAAGATGATCGGTGAGTGTTAAACATTTTGTCACAGAAGGTTTGAAACTGTTGAAAGGACAGTTGCTATGAGACTGGAAATTACATTTCTTTCTGTGGAAATGTGAGTCATTGATTTTTCCCTACTGAGATAAACCACAGCTCTCGCAGCCTGACGTAGACTTCAGAGGGTAAAAAGTCAACGTACACCAAGACCAGAACCTCGTTCTTGCCATCCTTACTCATCTGAGGAGTCTCACTACAGAACTCCTCAAAAAAGTTACTAGAAGAGGACTTGGTGGAGAGAAAACTGATGGTTGGGTGATAGAGGAAACCAAAGGGCAGTTAATGACAAAACAAGGGGAAATGGGTTTAAGCTGGAAGAGGGGAGGTTTAGATGAGATATTAGGAAGAAGTTCTTCACTGTGAGGGTGGTGAGACAGTGTCCCAGGTTGGCCAGAGAAGCTGTGGCTGCTCCTCCCTGGAAGTGTTCTCGGCCAGGCTGGATGAGGCTTTGAGCAACCTGGTCTAGTGGAAGGTGTCCCTGCTGCTGGCAGGGGGGTTGGGACTGGATGAGCTCGAAGGTCCCTCCCAACCCAAACCATTCCATGATTCTATGAAATCCTTTATGGCACAGAACAAACGTTCCCCAACGCACGCCACAGCTTCCCAACAGCCTTAAGTCTCCACACATGAACCAACTCAGCCAGAGTTTAAGCTGAAGCAGCAAAATGAAGGGTTCACTCCGGAGTAAAAAGCTCAGGGGAGCAGGGAGTTCAGAGCTTCAGCCCTTCTGGAAACCTTCAGCTCATCAAAACCACCCCGGCCACCTTCGCTACCATTATCGCGTCGCTGCTGCCGCTGCTGTTAACACAACGGAGCTTTTCCCTCCGCGGCGTCGGGAGCGTGAATCAGCGACGAGGTCCTGCCCTACACCCTGCTCCTGACACCCAGCTCCTGCCCAACACCCTGCTCCTGACACCCAGCTCCTGCCCAACACCCTGCTCCTGACACCCAGCTCCTGCCCAACACCCTGCTCCTGACACCCTGCTCCTGCCCAACACCCTGCTCCTGCCCAACACCCTGCTCCTGCCCACGAGAGACCAGCCCCAGAGCAACACCATTCTAACATGTCTTGGTTTGAAGTTGCCACTGCTGCAGAGCTCACCTGGGAGTCAGAAAGACTGTGTTGGCCTTTTTTTTAAAGTAAATTGAGAATGGAAATCATTTAAGTATCTTGAAGCTATAAAAAATTAAGAGTAGAATTAATGGCAAACGTGTACAAAGGAGGCAACTTTATAACCACTCTAATTTAAAGGTTTTTATAAAGGAAAATCTCTGGTTTGTAGCCCTGCAAAGGGAGACAGAGACACTCAGTGTCACAAGTAAACAGGGAACTGTCAAACTGAAATCAGCTGAAATCAGCTGAAATCAAACTGAAATCAGCTGAAATCAAACTGAATTCAAACTGAATTCAAACTGAAATCGGCCGACAGCAAAAATTCATATAAATTTCCAGTGCTACAGAAACACTCAAATCATTTCTGTAGCAACAAACCACATTCTCTGTCTCTCCCCTCCCTCTTTTACTGTTTTTCTCTGCTTTATTGTCCCATGAAAGACTCACAACAGCAGCAAAACAGACGGCAAGAAACAACGAAACCGGTGAGACACAAAACCACCCAAAATAAACACGCTGGGGAGAAAGCACAGAGGGTTTTTGCTGATCTTTCTCTCAGAGGTGTGAAGTCTTACAGGAATAAAAGACAAAGTATTTCCCATTATAAATAAGATTTTTTTCAAGTTCACATCATCTCTGCTTGCTCTGCAATATTTAACTAAATCTTCCTCCAAGATCTATGAATAATAAATATTATTTATTTATTAATAATATTGAATAATATTATTAAGTAAATAAAAGTAAAATAATATTGAATAAAAAAAAAGAGTTTGCAAGTGATTTTAACAAGGAGAAAATCACTGCTGGATAAAGGAGGCGCCACACGCGACTCAGCCTTGCACGACTGTCTCACCAGGAGACTCACATGCCTCTATCTTGTTAAAACAACTGGAAAACCACATTTTTTTCCCATTGAAATGGCTTCTGTGAAGCCCTGAAACATCAATTACCATCAATCAGCTTTTTGAAACACAGTTCCAATGAAAATCCTCGACCTGCAAGTTTTGAGGCTTTGCAAAGAAATACCAAAGACAGAAAATACATCAGGGTTTCAGCTTCTTACACCACAGTTAAAACTGCTTCCAGCACCAGAACACGTTCAGCTGAAACATCTGGGGTGAAGGAAAAGCTGTCCGTGTCACAGAGTGCTGACAGGAGGGAATTCATCAAAGCAACATCTGATGTTTCATTAGCCAGAAAATAATTACTGGTCCAATCTGTAGGAAAACCACGGGTTTATAATCAGAGAGGTAAGGATCATAGAGAGTCACAGAATGGTTTGGGTTGGAAGGGACCTTCAAGCTCATCCAGTCCCAACCCCCCTGCCAGCAGCAGGGACACCTTCCACTAGACCAGGTTGCTCAAAGCCTCATCCAACCTGGCCTTCAACACTTCCAGGGAGGGGGCATCCATGGAAAGGATGATGCTTTTCAGCATAAAAACACTGTCTCCACGCAGCTCACGAGTATTTTAATTTAAATGACAGGATTCTGCGATAGCAGCGGTATGAACTTTGTTCTGATGGGACTTTTAAACTTGTGAGACTCAGCTCTCTCCAGCCAAAGAACCTCATCTCACTCTAAACGTGAGCTTGAGTCTCAGACACAGGAACGGTGCATTTCAACTTTACCATCCCCAAGTTCATATACAGTCTCCTCCTCCTCAGTTTGATCCACGACTCAAGAACCACTAAAAAACCCTCCTAAATGGCTGCGGAGCATCAATGACAAAAACCACAAATAAAGAAACAAGAAAAATCCATTCCCACAACTTTTCTGATGAAAAAGATCCTAAACTGCTCAAGAGATGGTCACTTACAGACACGCTGTGCCTGGGCAGCAACGATCTTCACGAGGTTTTACGCTCAGTTACTCTTTACTGTGTCCCATCACCTGCTCTCCTCTCCTCACTCTTTTGGTTTTGCCTGTTTATAGCACAAATTACCCGAGACACCGACTGTCTCTAGTTAAACACTCATGAAATGACTAAAATCACCGACTCCCAGCCTCAGATGAAGCTTCAAAGCCAAATCAGGAGGCAAAGATAATGGAATATAAAAGCTGGATGTTAAGGGAAGGAGAAGGAGCTGCAGCAGGAGAGCAGCGAAGGAAGAAACCACGTTCTGTTTTGTCCTTTTCAGTCTCGCAGAGGAGAGGCCCGAGCGACATTTCAGTCCCCAGATCTTGTCAGAGGCAACTGATTATTTTAAAAGAAATCAAAGAATCCCAGACACGGGATTTTATTGTCAAATACTAAGTGACAAGGGTCCAATACTGCCATATGCAAATGGCAGGAAGTGATTTCAAACCTTTGGTGAAGTTACGCTCTAATCTGAGGGAATTCTGCGTTCTTTAACGTCTCCACAAGCTGCAGCAGTTAAACACTGTTGGTTTCATTTTGCAATGAAGACACTTGGGGAAAGTGTTTTTTTCATCCAGAAGACTGACAGAACTTCAGTTTTTTCCAGGAATCAGTGAAAGACAAGAGGCAAAGGACAGTACATCCTACCGCTTCACGCCAGAAAGCGAGTGAGGAGACTTGAGGCAACGTACCCAGCTCCGGTTTTGGATCCCGTTCTACAAACACAAACACTTCCTTGCCCAAGGAAGTTGTAGATGCCCCATCCCTGGAAGTGTTTGTGGCCAGGTTGGATGAGGCTTTGAGCAACCTGGTCTAGTGGAAGGTGTCCCTGCTGCTGGCAGGGGGGTTGGGACTGGATGAGCTTTAAGGTCCCTTCCAACCCAAACCAGTCTATGATTCTATGAATACTCCTTAAAACTTCAGGAGCACTTTCCATACGTGTTTTCTTCCACTCACACCCTGCCTCAGCCTGTTAGGGTGACATGAAGCTCAGCCAGCATTGCCACGACAAGCAGCTTCAGAAATAAAAGCCTGCAGTCCAAAAACGTATGGGGTGGATTGACACGAGGGGTATTTGTGAGAGGAAAATATCAGTGAGGTCATTTACAAACACTCTGCA